GATGGGATTGATTCCAACCACACTAACATAGACAAGATGAAGTGAGAGTTATGGATTGTATTAAAAGAGGAATGATGGTGTTGGAATTCATCATGATGTTCCTCTCTCTTAGCCCTATAAATAGAGAAGTCTTCAAGCTACAAAATTGACTTCAGCCATCCTCCACACTTCCATCATTCCATCAACACATCCAGAAATCATCCTCATACATTCCCACAACCTCAAACACTCCAACAATCAACCCAATACTCTAAATTGCCCCAAAATCACCAAAACAGCTCCAGAAAACCTCCCTTCCATTTCCCTACGAATTTCCTCTTTCTCAACCATCACAACTCACCCAAACTCATCCCAAATCACTTACTAGCTGTCATACATCATTCTAGACGTGGGGAAGCTCTTGGAGAAGCATTAGACATGGAGAAGCACTTGAAGAAGTCTTGGACACCACAAGAACTTCAAAAAAGGGGTTTGCCATTGAATGCCCAAATGTCAAATCTTTTAAAATTTCTTTCCTTTCGAGGCCTCCCTAGATCCATGGGATTGCATTGACGGAGATATTCTATATGCTTGATTCTTTCTTGCTTTGGAACATTCAGAATTCTTATCAACCTCCTCGATTTCTTTCCTTGTGAAGCCTCTGTCACATGCATGTAATCCTCTGAAAATCCTGGGCTCGAATCGGTGGCTTGGGCTTGGACCTCCGCGCTCTCTTAAATTACCACCCATTTTTATTACAAATAATATATAATAAAACTCTCATGTTCCAGTTGCCCAAAATCCTTCAATCTAGCCCCATCAAAAACCCCCAGCCACATATTCGTATTTATTCACTTGTGTATATTTATACATAAAATAAGACAATGAGGTTTCAACCTAAATAAACTCTAGCCCAGTCGTCTTTTTGCAAGAACTCCAAAGACTCCAGCCGCCTAAAATCAGGCAGCTCCTAACTGCTCAAATCCCAGCTGTTCAAATCCTGGCTGCTCCCAAACTGGGCTCCAAATCTAGGCTGCAGCCTCCAGCACAGCCTGGCCTCCTTCTCCAGCCATACTTTTAAACATAGCCCAACCTCAATCAAGTCTCCGGTTCTGGCCGCAATCGATCCTCTAGCTCCATCCGGCCGCAATCGATTCTCCAGCTGCTATTCGGCCGCAATCAAGTGCAGCTCGGCCGCCAAAATCCCGATCGCTCCTCAAGCTTCCGGCCCGACAGAATTTCGAGCTCCAAGCCACAGCCAAGCCGCCTTCTTGCTTCCAGCCACATCCGGTTGCATCTCGCAAGACTCTAGCCGGCCGCTAGTCCCCAACCATATTCGCACGCAGCCCGACCATTCATACACTGCCCAACCATTCTCTAGACCTCCAGCAGTTCTGACTGGGTTCTAGTGCAGCTCGACCCACCTTTTCGCATCCAGCCCATATTCTTTGTGCTCGGATTCAATTCTCGAACCCGGTCGTAACTCCTAGAGCCCAGTTGCTCGTATTTTCGAAAGGTGCCCGGGTGCGCAAGGAGAAAATACCCCCCGACCCAGCTTTTTGCAAGACAAGTGGCTGACCAAGGTAATTAAGGCGTGCCCGGCCCAACTTTTTTAGAAGTGCCTAACCACTTTTGCAAAAGGAAGCGTTCGGCCACTTTTGCAAGGATACGCTCGACCATTTTGCAAAGGGAAGCGCCCAACCATATTTTTGAGAAGGCACCACGGCTTTTGAAGAAAACACCTCGGCCGCATTTTTTAGAAGGCACCATGGCCTTTGAAGAAAACACATCAGCCACCTTTTTGAGAAAGCACCTCGACCACTAGGAATTCCGCCGCTAGAAATTCTTCGGATGCTAGGAATTCTTGGCGGCTAGGAATTCTTTGACCGCTAGAAATTTTCAGCCTCTATGAATTCTGGGCTACTAGTGATTGCGCCATTAGGAATTTTCGGCCACTAGGAATTTCGCCACTAGGAATTCCTCCTTGGCGGATTGGGTGAATTTTGACCACCCCCAAACAGTAGGGTAGCTAGAATATAGCGTTTTCGCTTTAGGTAATAAATGGTCTCCTTTTATAGAGCTAGCTACAGTCAACTGTAAGAAAAGGGTTGAGCTGGCGCATTGTTTTGTAATTTCAGTATATTTTATTTTGTTTTTTTCTCCCTATTTTCTTCTTTAGCAAAATGCCCTTATCGAGATGATCAAATTGCACTGCAATGTCTGATTGGTTTCAACTAAAGGAAGCTTCCAGAACCCACGAACTTCTTAGCTACATGACAGTTATCTACAAAAAGATATGCATAAATAAATATTCAAATGTGTAGTAAAATAATACATAGCCTAAATAAATAAATAATTAACGAGAGATGAATTGATTCCTCATAAATAAATAAAAACAGATATGCATAAATAAATATAAAAAAGTATATATCACTTGTGTAGCGAGAGATGAATTGATTCCCCATTAAAGAAAAAAGAGAGATGGATTGTATGCATGTAGGTATAGTAATTTAATTGAATGCAATATTTTCTATACAAAAATATATTTTATATACACCTGTCATTGTAAAAGATTTGTGCAGCTTTTTCTTCGTTACATTCATGTATTAAATATGCTCGTTACAGGTCCCCCAATCAGCTGTGGGCTCTGTCGGCTACGTGACTTTCTCAACTTGTCCCTTCAACCCACAACCTCTTCTTACCCTTGGATAATTCCACTTCCTCTATTTTTGGGCTTTAAAACTGCTATTTGTCTGTTTTATATCATTTTTTTTATATTTTTATACCCTGGTTTATATTTTCTCCTTTCTCATTAGAAACAAAATATATTTTGTACAACACAATTTGAATATTTTAATTATTCGGCAAAGTTTCCTTTCTCTTTTTTTTTTTTTCCACTTATAAAATAGAGAATATCCATTTAAAATTGCTTCTTTTATGTCACCTGTGACTATAATGCCAAAAGACCAACTTTCAAGAGTGTTCTGAAGCAGTGCTACAGCCTATAATGCCATTCTCGGTGGGGCGATTACTTGAGGGGCTTGAAATCTTCCGTTGTTGGTAGACGATGCTCAACCAAGTCACGACTCAATCCAGACATCTCGGTGTAATCCCAAGTGAAGCAATCTATGAACTCTCTTAAAAGCTTTTCCATCTCGGTGTAAAACGCAAAAGTAAACCGAACATAAAATAACTCAAAATATAAAAACGCAAACAAAAGGCAACTAAGGGCTTGTGCTTAATTTTTTTTTCCTGGTAAGAGGTGACTTGTGCTCAAAGGAGGCTTGTGCTTATTATTTTCAAGGGTTTCTTATATCCTTAATGACTTTAGATCGCTTCCAAACTTCATCCG